CAGGAAGGAGTGTCGACTATGCGGGGAGGAAAAAGAGGACAGCATACATATTCTGTGCCAATGTCCGGCTCTGGCTAAAGAGATTCAGGATCTGGGGACAAAGTTTTCTTAAATCCCAAGAATTAGACAAAACAAGGGTGGTGGAACTCATAAGCCTGGTGGAGAACTCTGAGCTCAGTACACATCACTCAGTTTAAAGACAAGAGTGAGGAGACACAATGGATCTCGCTAGATCTAGGTGCCGTCGGGGGCCAAGTCATGGAACCACTCACTACCTTTTTTTTTTTTTGTAACTCTGGGGAAACTTCATGGTACCATCCGCCTCCGGGTAGAGGCGGGGGTTATGTGGGACTCTCTGCCCCGCCTGGCCGGTCCGCCGTAGCTGGCCGGAGAGTCGGGATCGGCGAGCCGGAGAGCCGAGACAGGACCTACCGCACTAAAACCCCAGAGGATGTCCTTCGCGGGCGTTATACAGGAGACGGCCAGGATGCTGGAATCCCATGCTGTCTAGCCGCCCCCCCGCCTTATCCCTCCTTGGGAGGGTGCCGCGGAAGGCGACACCCTCCCCCCGTCATTGTACGGGTTCTTCGCGGTTGCGGCGCAGGGCGACATCGACCCCACGTTGCGCCCTCTCAAAGAGTTTGAGGGGCGGAGCCATGGCTCGAGAACTCCCGCTCGAGCCATCACCCCTCGCCCCCCCAGTGTCGCAACCCCCAGACCCCAAGAGGGTGGTCCGGTTCGGCGGTCACTGAGGGAGCCCTCATCAGGGGGTCCCTCTCAGAAGGAGAGAGATCCCCTTCCGTGGACGGTGTTGCCCTCCCACCGGTGCCCTATGGCTCCCGGTGAGAGGGCCCCGCGCGTCACGTCCCGTCTGTGAGAGGGGGCCAGGCGCCTATACGGAAGGACAAGTCCGCCCGCAGGGGATACATGGCCCCCCCTCCCTAGGTCCCCCCGACTGCGACCTCCCTCCTTCCCCTAGGGGTCAGAGTTCGCCCGCAGCCAGGGAGGCCCCTCCCTCTCGGAGGTTGTGGGGGAGGGGAGGGACGCCTAAGCGTCCCCATGTCCCCCCCCGACACCCTCACCCGGCGTCTGACTAACGCCGGGGTTTTTACGGGTTCCCCTCCCCCGATCCCCGCCGCCGCCCGTAGCCGCAGCCTTAGCCACGACCACCGACGACGGGGAAGAGGGAGAAAGACCCCCACCTTTAGGCCCCGCAGGGGGTGTCATGAGGCACCCTCGCTCCCCAAGCCTATGTCGGCACCTGGCCGGCCGGAGGAAGTCCACGCAAAGTGGACACCTCGGGCCAGCCAGGCACCCTGCCGCCTTGTGGTCAGGGGAGCCGCAGTTATAACAGCGGCTACCCCTGTCCACCGGCGAGGTGCAATAGCGCCATGTGCGTCCCATATAGAGACACCTATAGCACCTCGCCGCCCCCATGGCATTGGCTACGGTCGCCTCTCCGCCGCCAATGCCTCTCTCCTTACCACTGGTGTCGCTTTCTCCACCACAGGTGGTTCCCCTTCTCCTCCTCCTCTTTTCCCTCTTTACCACCTGCACCCACTCCGTGCTGGTGGTTTTCCCCTCCCCCGCACTTTGAAAAGTCTTCCGGACTCTTTCTCTTCCCTTGACCCTGCCGAGGCGTCTCTCCACCGACTCCAGCCGGTTCGAACTGGCCACCAGTCTCGAGGACAATTCCTCCAGTCTGGCCTCCAGTCCCCCCGGCATTGGAGCCGCAGCGTCCGCCGCCTCGGCTGCCATCTGTGTCCCCTGGTCCCGAAACTCCTTTTCGTCGTTATCAAGCGACGGGTGTGGAGTGAGAGGAGAGACGGGACCTGCGACTCCGATGGAGACGGAGCCGCAGGCCCCAGCGAGCGAGCTGCGGACGCTGCTGCCGGGACTAGCTTGGTTGGGTGTTGCCCCGGCATTGGAGATGGCTAATGCCAAAACTCCCTTTGCGGGGCACTACCATCGATCCCTGCAGCAGCTCGGCGGCATAATGAAGGACACGAAGTCCTTCATGGAGGGCTACAACCGTAGCTTGGAGGAGGGGAGGCCGCAGGACGCGGACGTCCACGCGCAGGCCTACATGGAGGCCATGCGGAGCCGAGAGGAGGAACTCACGCGGGCAGTGGTGAGCCTCGCGGAGTTGGAGCAGCTCCGGCTCAAGGGGGAGGCCGAAACTAAGGAGGTAAGGCCCCCTGGTCCCGAAACTTCTTTTCGGGGCCAGGGGGCCTTACCTCCTTAGTTTCGGCCTCCCCCTTGAGCCGGAGCTGCTCCAACTCCGCGAGGCTCACCACTGCCCGCGTGAGTTCCTCCGCTCGGCTCCGCATGGCCTCCATGTAGGCCTGCGCGTGGACGTCCGCGTCCTGCGGCCTCCCCTTCTCCAAGCTACGGTTGTAGCCCTCCATGAAGGACTTCGTGTCCTTCATTATGCCGCCGAGCTGCTACAGAGATCGATGGTAGTGCCCCGCAGAGGGTGTTTTGGCATTAGCCATCTCCCATGCCGGGGCAACACCCAACCAAGCTAGTCCCGGCAGCAGCGTCCGCAGCTCGCTCGCTGGGGCCTGCGGCTCCTTCTCCATCGGAGTCGCAGGTCCCGTCTCTCCTCTCACTCCACACCCGTCGCTTGATAACGACGGGGCGGAGGCCGGGATACCTCCACCACTGCCGGGCCCTGGGGCATCCGAAACCCCTGGGCCGGTACGCTTCTTTCCCCTATTGCGTGTCATCCATATATATTTTGGTCTTTTTTAACCTGGTGACCATTCAGGGTGGCGGGTCGAAACCCTATGGCCCCACCAGGTCGTATGTACCTCCACAGGAGGTACCGACCACTCTTAGCACCCTTCGCAAGGCTATTCCCTTGCGAAGGGTGAGCCCCCCCACTACGGCAAGATGGCGGTCGACGGGGGGGTGACCACTTACTACCTATCTACTACTACTACTACTAGTACCAATTTCAAAAAAATCGGTCCATAAGTATGCAATTGCATAGGTGAATACGAGGGTGAAGGTGTAAATTTAAAAAAACCACATAACATCCATCCTCGAAAAATTTGCAACATTTTGGTACCTGTTTTACAAAAATATATATATATATATATAAAAGCACCGTCTGTCTGTATGTCTGACCGCTACTTTCACATTTATGATTTTTGTGAAACAGTACCAAAATGTTGCAAATTTTTCGAGGATGGATGTTATGTGGTTTTTTTTAAATTTACACCTCCACCCTCGTATTCACCCATGCAATTGCATACTTATGGACCGATTTTCTTGAAATTAGTACTAAAATGTTGCAAATTTTTTGGGGAGTGTGACGATATGGTTTTTTTAAATTTCCATCTACCCACGCATTCACAAAATTGACCGATGTTTTCAAAATTGATAGTAAAATTTTGAAAATTTTCAAGGATGGTGATGATATGGTTTTCTAATTTTTACACCCCTACTCTCGCATCCACCCATGCATCACCTATGCACCCACCCACGCAATCGCATATTTATGGACTGATTTTTTCGAAATTGGTACCAAAATTTTGCAAATTTTTCAGGGAGTGTTATGATGTGGTTTTTTCTTAAGTTTTCATCCACCCACGCATTCACAAATTTATTGATCGCTGTTTTAGAAATTTGTAACGATGGCCCCCCATCATCCGACAGATCGTCGGAAGGCCGCGCCCGGCAAACATCAGCCGGGCAGTGCGGCAGGCGCTGTGCGCCTCATAATTATTTCTCATAAGGGTTAAGGGTCGACAGGTCGTCCGGCCAGGGGCCCTATTCTTGAATGCATGCGATAATTGTCGCATGCGAAAAATATCGCACGGTCCGTATCGCATGCGACTTCAGAATCGTATTCTCAACTATCATGCGATATGAGGTCTGCGATAAATGTCGCATGCGAGAAAGGTTGTGTGTTCCGAAATGCTACGTACTGGAAATCTATAGTTTATGTCGCATATATTGTAGTGAATTTTGAAATTCATTGTCAGTCTAACCTAAATTTGTACAACGCAGTTGAACTGTGTTAACAAAAATTCTGTGATCTTAGTTAAAATTGGTAAAGTGCAAATTTTGTTACAGTTAACAAATATATAATAATAGTGAAAATCGAATTAAAATGGCATTAGCATCAAATGAAGTGAAGAAACGATGTACATATGTTAATGAAGAACAGAAAAGTTTGCTGGTTGGTAAGTATTGCCTTCAATTTGTTACAGTCTAATAAAATTTGTTTTAAACTCTCTCATATTGAACTTGTTCACATTGAAAATTTGTAATTTGTATTTAAAGATATGTAATGGGTAAAAGCCGCTTAATAGATTGATAGTAACTATTATTTATTAATCTTTCAATACAGTGCTCTATAATATATATTTTAATTGCAGAATTTATGCGTAAACATCCAGAGCTACAGAGTGGAAAGTTTTCTACAACGTTTACTTATAAACATGCTAAAAAATTGTGGGAAAAAGTAACAGCAGAACTACATGAAATACCTGGTGCACAAAAAGAATGGAAACAATGGCGAAAGGTATGTATTATATTGACAGATAGCAAAACTTCTTTTTACAGAAAGAAAATTATATACTTTAAATAATCTGATGGTCTACTTTCTGCCTGTATCATAGACTTGGCAAGACATGCGAAGTTCCACTAAAGCCAAAAATGCTTTGATCAAGAATCATGCAAAAGCAACTGGTGGAGGGCCTGCATCAAGTCAAGTCTTATCTGAAACAGATCAAAATGTTCTGGCACTTATGGGTACAACAGTCGTGGAAGGACATAAGAGTGCAAGAATCCAATGTGCTAATGGTAAGCTATTAACGTATAACAATTTTTACGTATGTTAAAAAAATTAATATTTATTTTATGTTAAAAAACTGAAAGATAAGAGATTCAGTTTATGTTCATTTTGTGTATTTCTTTTTATAGTTTCTATAAGCTATTAACGTATAACAATTTTTACGTATGTTAAAAAAATTAATATTTATTTTATGTTAAAAAACTGAAAGATAAGAGATTCAGTTTATGTTCATTTTCTGTATTTCTATTATAAAGAACATTGTCCAAAGAAATAAAACAAATGTTTATAATCCAAATATTGTTATTTACTGCCACGTTATTACAATTAGAAATACAAATATGTGTACATGCATGTGTACAAAAAGTATAAAATATTGTCAAGAGAAGTAATGTCGTATTAGATTATTGCGAATTCTTCTTCCAGTTATTAGTTCAATATTTCTATTTAAATTTATTCCGGGTTCGTTTACACCATCCATAACATTTAGCATACCAAAATCCAATACTTCATCTTTAAATGCTTCATCAGGTAAAGGCACTTTATCATGAATGCACATATTATGTAATATGGTACAAGCATTGATAATTTTTGAGCACACATCTGGTCGGTAATGCAAGACTCTATGTTTCAACAAGCAACGAAATCTCATCTTTAAAACACCATTGCAACGTTCAATAAGCGATCTAGTGCTCTTTTGCCGATCATTGTATCTTCTTGTTGCAATATTAAGATTATTGTCCATTATTGGAGTCATCATCCAAGGTCTAAGCGCATAACCGGAATCACCTGTAAAGCAATATAATGTTATACATTGTAATTAAAAACAATAGGTATTTTTTGATTCACACATGATGCACATGAAGTGACAGAAAATGTGTAATATGCGTAACATAAACTATAGATTGTCTGTCACTTATTCATGCGCATCATGCGCGAATCATTAAGTACGTAATATTTAATAATCATTTTTATTACATATTACCTAGTAAAAAAAAGTTGTGTCCACGATTGTAAATATCTTGCATTATAGGAAGAACATTACTATTATTCCAGATATACGAATCGTGCGTGCTTCCTGGATATCGGGCATTAACATTCATAATCCTAAGATCAGAATCACATATCTGCAAATAAAGCTGTACTTATATTATTTGTTTAATAATATACTTAAATAATATACTTAAATGAATTGTGTGTTAAGGCGCAATCTTACCAATTGTACATTAATTGAATGATATCCTTTTCTATTTACATATATATGTTCAGGATAATTCTCATCTTCTTTAGGAGGTGGAACAATTGCTACATGAGTGCAGTCTATACAACCAATCACTCCAGGAAAGCGATGCTTAATCCAAAATCTATATATACAAATAACATAAATAATATACATAAATAAATATGTATGATTATATTATACATATATATATATATATATAAACGTAATTGCGTACTATATCTTATTTAATTTTTCTCAATATATTCTCACTTGTTACGTAGTTGCTGCAGCTTTTGAAGGTTGTTAGGAAAGCATACCCAAGTGTTAAATATTTCTGGACGATTAAGAATATTAGTCACATTTCGAACACATCTGCTGATCGAAGGTTGACTAATAGCCATGTGAATATTTTTTCCTATGCAATTCTGATAACTGCCTGATGCATAAAAGCGTAATGCAGCTAAAACCTAGAAAAATTTTACAAATAAGTTATATTAAATAATTTACAAATAATTTATTCTGCATTTGTTGTACGTACTTGTACAGTGGCGTCCAAAGCTGAAGATCGTGATGGTTCTATAAAATTGTCTTCCACAATATTAATAAGCCTGTTTGCTGTTTCTTTTTTCAATCGAAAAATATTTATAAACTGTCGCTCTGATAAGTGAAATGGATCATCCCTTATGTGAAAACGCTGTCTTTCATTATAATCGAAAATATTTTCTAATTGTTCAGCAATATGAAGTTGAACAGCATTTTAATATGCCAAATCCATTGCAATTATAAATTTAATTAACCTCTCTTACATTGGATAACTTCACTTTTTTTGAAAACAGCGGTTTTATTATTATATTTATCGTATGCGACTTACATATCGCATGGGGTTTACCCACTCGAGATGAACTGTTCGATATTTTCTCGCATACGATACATCTCATTTATTCGAGAATAACATTTTTGCTATCGAATGCGATATCGCATGCGATATCTAGGGTCCTCGTTTCAAAAATAGACCCCCAGACTCCGAATTGATGTTAAAGACCTCGCGCGGTGACAACGCGAAACTCCGATTTCAGTGTTGCCAACGCTGAAAAACCAATTCTCGGGTTTTATGTAATGGTGCATGTCTGTACACGTACATACACCATTGCATTGCTCACGCGGATGCACCGTAGAGAAACAAGGACCGATAATCACGTGTTCTCCTTGTTCCTCTACCGTGCCGGTATACGCAAGATGCGGCCTGAAAATGCTTTCTGGCCTTTCGTAGCAGAAGGCAGCAGCATAGCAAGGCTAATAAGCACCTATTTTTTGTAAATTTTATATATGCTTATGCACATATGTGCGTATTGCGACGTTAATTCGCAATCCTCGAGCACACCGAGCCCGAGGGGGAAAACGCCGAATTGCAATTGGGTGACCGGTACCCGATTGGCGGTATCAGATAGAGATGCTAACTATCGCGGTACTCAGAAAAGAAAATAGAAATTAGCTAAACGATATCCAAAAAACCAAATGAGCAATAATTCCAAGTAATTGGGCACTATTTTTTTTTGTTACTCTGGGGAAACCTCATGGTACCATCCGCCTCCGGGTAGAGGCGGAGGTTATGTGGGACTCCCTGCCCCGCCTGGCCGACCCGCGCCTCCGCCTGGCCGGTCCGCCGTAGCGGGCCGGAGAGTCGGGATCGGCGAGCCGGAGAGCCGGGACAGGACCTACCGCACTAAAACCCCAGAGGATGTCCTTCTCGGGGCGTTGGATAGGGGGTGCCGAGGATGCTGGTAACCCATGCCGTCTCGAAAACCACCCCCCGCCCGTTAATCTTCGGGGAGCCGCCTCAACCTTGCGGTCGAGACACCTCCCCGACCGCACAGTCAATGACTGTGCGGTGTCGACGCGGTTGCGGCACGAAGACGACATCGACCTCATGCCGCGCCCTCCCAAAGAGTTTGAGGGGCGGAGCCATGGCTCGAGAACTCCCGCTCGAGCCATCGCCCCTCGCCCCCCAGTGTCGCAACCCCCGGACCCCCAAGAGGGTGGTCCGGTTCGGCGGTTTACTGAGGGAGCCCTCATCAGAGGGTTCCTCTCAGAAGGAGAAAAACCTCCTTCCGTAGACGGTGTTGCCCTCCCACCGGTGCCTTATGGCTCCCGGTGAGAGGGCCCACACGTCACGTCTCCGTCCTTGAGAGGGGCCCAGGCGCCCCAGACGAGAGGGCAATGCCCGCCCGCCAGGGACACGTGGCCCTCCCTCGGCCCCCCCAGTTGCGACTCCCTCCGCTCCCATGGGAGTTAGGATTCGGCCGCAACCAAGGGGTTCCTCCTCTGGGAGAACAATCGCCCACCCACGCCTAAGCGCGGGGAGCACGACCGCCCCCCCCCTCAAGAGGCTGCCGGGGGGCAAGCGCGAGTCTACGCTCGCGCACCCCCCCCCCCCCGACACCCTCATCCGGCGTCGAACATCGACGCCGGGATCATTCGGGCGCCCCTCCCCCGATCCCCACCGCCGCAAACAGCCGCACCTCGGGGTGCGGCTGCCGACGGCCGGGAAAGGAGAAGCACGCCCCCGCCCCTCGACCCCGTCGGAGGTGCCCGGCAGCACACCTGTCCCCCCAGGACATGCCCCGCCGGCCGGCGCAGATCCACACAAAGTGGACAGCGCGGGCCGGCGCGGCAGGCCCGTGCGATGTGACCAGAGCTCCGCAGCGGTAGCAGCGGGAGCTCCTGTCCACTGCCGAGGTGCACCGCCGCCACATGTGTCCAGGACACAGGCACCGGTAGCACCTCGGCTCTCTCCTCTCTCCTGTCCGGTCCTTTCTGCCGGCCTCGGTCGCAGGTTTCCTTGGCGTTGTCGCCTCCTCCTTTCGTCTGCGACGACCGACAACCCTGGACCACGCCTCGTTCCGGACTTCGGTCTCCACCTCCAAGCCCGGTGGCAAGGTGTCGAGGGTTGGAAAGGCCTCTCCTCTTTCATCACTCTCCTCCCCCCGACACCCCCTCTCCCTCGGAGCATCCGGGGTCCGAGCTGCCCTCTCCGCGCTCCTCACCCCTCCTGCTCCTTTTCCGTCCGCAGCGTCCTTCCTCTTTTTCTCTCCTTTCGCTTGCGGGCGTTTTTCCCCCGTCCTCTCCGCGAGGTTTCTCTCCACTGAGAGTTCCTCTCCCTCTCCTCCCTCATGGCGCATCGCAGGTCCTCCATCTCCTCCTGCAACTCCTTTGCCCATGGGGAGGATGTTCTGCCTTGTCTTTTACAAGGCCCGCTCCCTTTGTGTTGGTTCCCCTGGTGCTGGTGGTCGGCAGCCAGGGGTCCAATCCAATGTCCGTCCTCTCTACCCGAGCGAGGTTGCCCTTCAGGTGCATATATGCATCCCTCAGGGCTAGTTTGTCCCGCTCGATTTCTTCCTCTTGCTCCACGAGGACCATGTATTTCCTCGCCCTGGTTAAATGGGCTTTCCACTTGGACAGATCCTCGTAGAGCACCTCCACTGTACCCTTCTCATCCATGTCATCCTGCTCCACGATAATCCGCTGGATGACCCTGGAGCAGTCCCCGACACACCGGCAGAGCATGCGCGATATTCGCATGCTACCGGTCTCTTCTTCCTCCTCCGATTCGCATGAGTCCTCCACTCGTAAAAGTCAGAGGACCCATACGAATCCTCCAAAGCCTTTGCAGGCTCTGTCGTCCGCCCGTCGTGTGATGACGACGGGGTGGGGGCCGGGACTATACCTCCCTCCCCGCCGGGTCCTGACATATCCGAGGCTGCCTGAACCTGTAAGTCCTTTTTCCTCGGTTTCCTTCCCATAATATGTTTTGTTTTCGGGGTGAACTCCCCTAGGGCGGTGAGCCTAGGCCCTTTTGGCAGCCGCCCACTGCCATGAGGTGTACCTCCACAGGAGGTACCGACCACTCTTGGCACCCTTCGCAAGGCTATTCCTTGCGAAGGGTGAGCCCCCCCACCACGGCAAGGTGGTGGTCTACGGGGGGAAGTAATTGGGCACCAGGCGCGATTCCGCCGACTACGCCCTACTCAGTATTTGGCAGAGGGGCGCGGTTCACAAATGTTAAATTTTTACAGAGTCTGGAAAAGAGGGCTGATTATCAGGAGACGCGGTAGCGTCTCGCTAAGTTATATCTTTTATTCGTCAAATTAAAATACAATCTACAAAAAACAAAAAAATATCAAAAGATATCAAAAAGATAGCGAAAATATCAAAACAATAGTAAAATTATCCGTAGGACGCTACTGTGTATCCTTTACCGGACGTAACACAATTTTCATAACCTTAAAAACAAAAATTTGAAATATTTCATGAACTGGAACATATTTTTCAAAAGATGACCATATCAATAGAAAGCGCGATTTTTCTGAGTAAAATGAGACCTTAACGAACTTGATAGTTCTGTTGATTGCGGAGATATAAATTTTTTAATTTATTTTTTGGTTGAATATGTGCCACTTTTTTGTCCGAGTACGGCGTCGTACTTGTCCGCGGTCACCCATCCCAAAAAATGATTTTGTCCGCAGCTGCTTTACCTTATCTGCGGCACCCATCACAATATAGTGACATTTTTCACTGCTGCTTAACCTTTTAAGCAACTAAACAAAAAATAAATTATATAAGTATGCTGTCTTCTAAGCCGGGCAATAGAGCCAAGGAAACGAAAAATTAATTAAACTCTCAAATTGAGATACAGTTCCGTTTAATTAATTTTTCATTTCCTTGGCTCTATTGCCCGGCTTAGAAGACAGCATACTTATATTCTTTATATTGAGAGCCGATAAAAATATTTATTTCTGAGTTTATTCACGCCTTGGGCTAATCACGGCGGTATTTACTAACATCTACTAAAGAGGCAAATGAAAAATATGGGATCGAAAGGGTCTGAATAGCTTAGTTGGTAAGAGCAGTCGCCCGGAAAGTGAAAGACGCGGGTTCGATTCCCGCTTCAGCGACTTTTCGGACCTATATTTTTCTCGCTTATTTTCTCCATATGTAAGTTTCGAAATTAATTTATATGTGGAACTTTGGGATCTCAAATTGAGATACAGTTCCGTTTAATTAATTTTTCGTTTCCTTGGCTCTATTGCCCGGCTTAGAAGACAGCATACTTATATTCTTTATATTGAGAGCCGATAAAAATATTTATTTCTGAAAAAATAAATTCTCGCTCTCTCCCGCTCTCTCTCTCGCTTTTTGTCGCCCTCTCTCGCCCTTTCTCGCTCTTTCTCTCTCGCTCTCTCTTGCTCTTTCTCGCTCTCTCTCGCTCCCTCCCGCTTTTTCTCTCCTTTCTCGCTCTCTCTCGCTTTCTCGCTCTCTCTCGCTCTCTCCCGCTCTTTCTCGCTCTTTCTTGCCTTCTCACGCTTTCTCTCGCTCTCTCTCTCGCTTTCTCTCGCTCTCTCTCTTGCGTTCTCTCGATCTCTTACGCTCTCTCTCTCGTCTTCTCTCGTCCTCTCTCGCTCTCTTTCGGTCTTTCTTGCTCTCTTTTGCTTTCTCTCGCTGTCTTTCGCCTTTTCTCGTTCTCTCACGCTCTCTTACGCTCTCTCTCTCTCGCCTTCTCTTTCTCTCTCTTTTTTTCTCTTGCCTTCTCTCGTTTTCTCTCGCTCTCTCTCGTTCTCTCTCGGTTTCTCTCGTTCTCTCGACTTCTTTTGCTCTCTCTCGTCTTCTCTCGCTTTTTCTCGTTCTCTCTTGCTCTCTCCCTCGTCTTTACTTGCTCTTTCTCTCTCTCTCTCTCCCCCCTCCCTCCCTTCCTTACTCCCTTCTCTCTCTCTCTCTCCTTTCCCTCTCCCTCTCTCTCTCTCTCTCTTTCCCTCTCCCTCTCTCTCTCTCCCTCTCCCTCTCTCTTTCTCTCTCTCTCTTTTTTACCTCTGTTTTTCTCCCTTATATTTAATAATATTTAATAATATTACAATCACTTTAGGATTTGACCTCGGACAAAATGTTAAAAACCTGAATTTTGGTGCAAACCTTTGTGTTTGCATAAAATTAAAGAGGCAAAATTACCATTATTATATAGTGGCCGTTAAGAAAAAAATTAAACAATTAGGACTCAAATTTTGTCTTTTGAAAATATCTAATTGAATATTGATTTTACAGAAAAACAAAAAGAAATACAAAAGTACAAAATTGAAGAATGGATAAATTTGCGTAAAAAATGTTATCTATGTATAAGTCTTTCGTACAAGTAATACTTTTTATGTAAATAATTTTACAAGACGTACGCTGTGCGATGTACTCACGGAGCGTGCTGACAGACGTTATGTGGATTGAAGCGTTACACGCGCGCACAAAAATGTCATAACTTTTGAACGAATTATTGTACAGAAATGAGTGAAGAATCATCTAGAAGCCAGAGATTTCAACTTTTTAATGCAATCTTTGTTATTCTACATTAATACTTAAAAATTTTACGATAGTTTAAACAAAATATTACATGTAATAATTGTCTTCTCTCATTAAATTAGTAACAGATAGTCTTAGAATTTTTAGAAAACTTATCATAAAATAACAAAACTGTTCAAAACGCATCAGAAAATATTATCAGCATAATAAAATATTATATTCGAACAGAATACTTTAGAAGATTCTAGACCAATCGATATTTTCAGCAAATCGTTTTTGTATGTTTTTCGAGGAGAAAACACCGCGACATAAATCAATCTGTTTCGGAAAAAAAACCTCTCAAAACATCAACAATTAACGGTACCACAACCGTTCCGCCGAATAATTATTTTCAGTGAGCATGCGCGGCTTATCACGGGCGCCTCGTTTCACCAATAATTATCGCGATCGCCCGCTCGCGCATGCTTTCTGCCAGCCGTCGTCCCGTTAATTTTGACAGCGGCCAATTACGCGTAATGCGCTCAGGTCACCTCGCGCAACGTTTGAAATCTGCAAAACTATTGGCGCTTTACGCGAAGGTGGGCTCCATCCTACAAATTATAAAAGAAGAGCACACACCCGGTTTAGCCGCCTTATCGCTTTTCCGCCGTGAACCGCATAACGCAAACCGCATACTTGTTAAACCGCTAAAAATTCGTTGACCACCGCCGCTTATTCCGCACTTTGATTTTTGATTACAATTTCAATGTAAAATAATTAACATTTGTAAGAAGTTTGGTAAAGTGTATTTGTCATTAAATGTGTTAGAGAATTAAATTCTTTTGATACAAAAGTGACTCATTCTTTGTGCCGCGCGACCCTTTCTTACGCAGCGCGTTCGCGAACAAAAACAAATTACATTAAAAAGCTGAAATCCCCAGATTTTCAACGGTTCTTTTTCATTTCTGTTTGATAATTTGTTCAATAGTTATGACATTTTTGTGCGCGCATGCAATACTTTAATCTACATAACGTCTGTTGGCACGCTTCACCACGCTCTGTCAATTCACCGCACAACAAACTTGTAAATTTTTTAAGTAAAATGTATAGCTTATACAAAAAAAGTTATATAATACTTCATGCAAAATTGTCCATTCTTTAATTTCCTACTTTTGTATCTTTATTTAAAATGAATATATAACGAGATATTTGCAAAATAACAGAATTTGAGTACTAATTGTTTAAATTTATTTTTTAGCGACCACTGTACAATGATAAACTTTTTTCTTTAATCTCATGCAAAAACGAAAGTATGTACCAAACTTCAATTTTCTAACATTTTTTCTGAGGTATCGCTCAATTTTTATCTAAAGAAAGTGTAGTATAAAATATATTGAAAGTCATTATAAAAGCTATACGCATGCACATACATATGTAAGTACACAAGCATGTGCGCACGTAAGCATAGATATATGTTTACATATACATATTTTTAATATACTTTTAATGAACTTTGCAAAAATATGTGAAATCCCACTAAAAATGACATCACAAATGTAAAAAAAGTGCTAAGTTATATCTTTCACAAGTAATAATAATTCTTTACAAAAAGTCGTAATCAAATATATTATCTTCTCAAAAATTGTTTATAGCCAAAATAATTCTTTGCAAAAATTAATCATCATCAAAAATATTTTCTCAAAAATTATATTTATAAATTATATTTTATTTTTGTTAATAATACTAGAAAAAAATTAAAATTTGACATATACATATACGTTTTTATCATATATTAATTAATGTATTGTGACGTGGTCTTTTTGAGCCCGTCACAAGGGCGGACGCGCCCGGCCGGGAGGCGTCTGAGAGCGCTTTAATTCTGTGTTTCGTGCGGGTGAGCAGCGACCTTTTCGCTAGCTCACCCGTACTCTGTATCGGGATCGAGGTGATGGGCCGGGAGAACGGCCATTGTTTTAGGTAGAAGAGGACCCAGGCGAACAACGGAGGGACGACCTCGGAGGGGGAGGAGCGGAGACTGAGCGACCGGCCCGGTGAGTATAAAACACACAGTATCGAGTGAATAAGGAGATACTGCCAAGGAAATCATTACAGCCTCGAGTGGACGATCGGGAGCGGCCCGGAGCAGGCAGGGGAAGGCGTCGGCATCTCTACACGAGGATGGACACCCCTAAGGGGCCCCGCCACCACACGTCGAGGAGAAAGCGGAGATCCCTCGGGCTTGATCACCCCGGAAAGGTCTC